AAAAAAAAAATCCCCGAGAGGATGTTTGAAAAAGGAGTTGTGGGTAGCAACCTACAGAAGAGGGCTAGACAGGAGACTGACATGAGAGCCTTCCCTGAGGCTGAGTCTGATGCAAAGAACAACCTGACTTTAGAGAGGTTCTCGGCATTTTCTTTTAATTGGTGCTAGGGAATTACACACAGCCTGTGTCATCTCAACTGGGGGCTTAAATGCCCCCAGGGTGCCTGGTCCACTCTCCCTGTGAGGAGCCCCAGTTTTTGGAGAGTTCTGGCACGTTCACAGTGGCATATAAAACTTCTGTGGAGTTTCCTAGAAGCATTATTTTATTAGAATAGGCAAAAGCATTTAGGAGGAACAGAACAAATTAGGTTTGTGCTTAACTTTGAAAAAGGAGGTGGAAAGTTCTAGGGTTTATTTCACATTTTCCTGTGTCTACATTTCTGCAAAGTCTGAATCTATAATTTGGACAAGACTTGGTAACAGATGCATTCCCCTTATCTCTTACCTTCCTGCTTTACCACAGATAGTACTGGAACTGCATCACAAATACCAAGGAAGAGAAAGCCAAGTGAGATGAAACTCCACTTCTGGTCATAGAAGAAAACTGGGGGGTTGGGGGGGGGGGGGGGGGAAGTTACTAATTAAAATTTATCTGAGAAACGCCTCAGTAAAAGAATCATCAATCTGTTTCAGCTGAAGTCTGAAAGAGGCATATTTCAGGCTGAAAATTATAATTAACACACTCATGGTGCTGACATAAAACACCAGTGGATGCTTTTTAACTGCTAATTAACCTCTGGCTTCTATAAACATCCTTAAAAATGCACATCTTCATCACCTTTATTGCAGCTCACTAGCAATCACATACTTCTCAAACGATGCTGCAGATCATTCCTGGTCGTTTTGACCTGTTTCAATTTCCAAACTACTGCACAACCCTCCCAGTCTAATGATACTTACAAACATCTGCACATGATGCAGGTATCCTTCCTATTCCTAAAAATTAATTAACAAAAGTTAATTATTTTTTAATGTATTGTTTCTCTCTCTTGTGTCAATTAGTATCTGAGTTATTGAAGTGGATCATTGCTATTAGTTTGCTTTCACAAAGTTGGAAAATTTAAACTCCGCTGTCATCTTAATTACTTACAAATGAAGGATAAAATTCTTTTCTGTGGCAGAAGTCCAAAAGACATAATGGAGACAGGATGTTGTGGCAAGCCTCCGTTCCCCATGCATTCCTCCAGTCTCAGCAGGACCACTCTGGCACTGGAGGCAAAGCGTGCATGCCGTGCACAAGCATGACTGCAGTTCCAGGACACAGAGCTCACTACGTCTTTTACTTTTTAATAGTACTGCCAGACTTTCAGCAACACATATTATGTTTAAGCAAAATGGTAACTGGATAATCTGTGTACTGCATAGAAAAAAAAAATTATTTCCTTCTACTTTTCCTCTTCCAAAGAAGTAGCATTGCAATACTTTGTTTCCTAGCCTGGATTCCTATAGAAATTAAAATGGGGTTGAGATCATTATCTCTCCATATGTAAAATAAATGTCTGTGTGCGCATGTGTGCACACAGATGTGCATGTACATACTTGCATGTTGTGCAAGAGAGAAGGAACAAGAACAAACAGTAGCCAATTTTAACCACATCTGACAGAGCAAAAAAAAAGCTGAAAAATTCCTGTATGTTTCATAAGAACAAGCTGCTAAGTAAAAGGAGACCCACCGAAGTTTGAATTAAACCCTTATTGAACAGCAAGAAAGCTGCAAAGATGAAAGATGTTACAAATACCCACCCCACAGGAAAAGCTGCAGTCAGAGCTTCCAGCTATGCAGACCTAGGAGAAGCCAAACAAGATTTGCCCAAGGGGAACCAAGCCCCATCAGATCTGCAACTTACAGGACTACTGGTCTGTGCAGGATTTCTAATCCATCACTATCCAGTGTTGATGCTGACATACTCCATTTTTTGCCCTTTTATTTAGGAGGGGAAAAAGATTTTTTTTTTTTAATGCTGATTTCTCAAACCTGAAGAGGTAAAATCCAACATGAAAGGAAGGGCCAAACTTTGTTCTTAAAGACCCTGTGAGATACCCTTACAAGAATGTACACATGCAGCACACTAGACAAAGAGAAAACAGCATCTTCCAGTTCACAGCAAACTAGAGATAAACTTTGTGCCCTGGCAGCCTGAAGTTTGATCTTAAGGTAGCAGGAACCAGTGCTATTAAGCAGCTTCTCATCCTAATTTCTCATCTGTCATATCACTGATATCCATGAGTCTAACCATTCTTAAGAATTTGGCGAGGGGCACACGTCTTGAGCCTCTAAATGTTCCTGGTTTTTTTTTCTCTGCAATACAGGTATGGTATCCATGCAGAAGACAAAGCTGAAGGAAGTTAAGTCAGGGTTCTTGGCACTGCTCACCATTTGCAGTGCAGTGCAGGGCCCCCAGCTCTGCTGGTCTGCCAGAGACCCTCCTGCCAGTGTCACACATCTCTGGCACCTCACTGGATGCTACAGACAGTGAGAAGGAGTCCAAGCCCAGAGCTGCACCATGTATCAAGGGACACACAGTCTTCCAGAAACCAGTTACCCACTATAGTCACATTTCTCCCTCTTCATAGCTTGGGAGTGTTGGACAAGGTTTGTTTACTTCACCCCAGGGTTGTGTGTTCACCACCTGGCAGTAACACCTCCAGGGACAACTCTGGCACTCCAACATTCACAGTCCCTTTTGGATGACTGCCTTTTTATGTTCTAGTCACAGTAACTCAGTTTTCGTCTGTCCCTCTCTTCTGCACTGTATACCTCAGACCCTCCTTTGCCAAGCACACTTACAGCTCTAAAAATACAGTCCAGGAATTTTTTACTCCTCATATTGTGTAACATGGAAACTTGTCTCTCAAGCTCAGAAATCTTGCTTGTAGGTGCTGAAGCAATCAATGCACCTAGGCTGTTTTAGATGCCTGTGGCCATAACTAGCAGTGTTCTGGTTCACTGTCCTTCATACCCCACACAAAGGAAAGATAGTGAAAGGATTCAATATCCAAATTCTGCTGTTCCACTCTTCTTCCCAAAAAGATTAACTCCAGTAAAACAGATGTGCCCACTCTTGTCACTGAGTGACAAAGGGATGTGTGTAGCATTGTTATTCTTGCTGCTACATGTTTATGATATCCTGAGAATTTTTATGAACTTTTTTTTTAGTCTTTTGTTGCTAAGAGAATAATAATGATCTAGCAAGGCATAAGGAATCTCCAAGGCTTGGAGCAATAACGTCTTTTAAACTCTTAGAGTTTACTCTTAGTCATCTAAACTAGCTACATTTTGCATCTTTTTTAATATAAATACCCATTCTATTTAATATGTTATACCTACCTGTCCCTGGTTTTCCTAATCCAAAATAAACTAGGTGAGTAGCCTTCTTTTTGTGCTTTGTTATTCATTACTTAAGGATATAGGGAGGAAGTTAAAACAGCATGTTTGTTAAATAAGTAAATATTTAACAAGTTGACTCAGATTTTAACAGTCTAAGGGAACACCATTATAAAACCTCAGAAAGCTGGCAGTACTCGCTGATTTTTTTATGTGACACTCAATTTAGTTGTTGAAGCCATTTCATTTCCTGGATGAATTATACAATTTCTGTAGTAGGACAATTCAGCATAAACATCTACAATAAAACAAGTAAATTAAATCTGCAAGTTATTTCTAGTCCATGGGGAGAGAGCTGCCTTTTTCTTATTTACTGCTCCCTAAAGAGTCGAGGCCCCAGAGCAGTAGGACCCTGCAGAAACTCAAAGGTAAACTCACACTTGATTTCTGAGATTCTGGGACCCAGACCCTCACAAATTCTGTCGTAATTCACATTTAGAAGTCAGCAAGCATTTCTTTATTCCCATGATTTTAGGCAATGGAAGAGGCAGGCTGGGAAGCAGGTTTCTAAAGGCCACAGGAAAACAAAATAAAACCAAAAACCCACAACAATTTTAGGGGTTTACAAATTATCTGTGAAACTTTGTAATCTGCCCCTAAGCTTTCCATGGGCAGAAGAAACTTACTGGTCACAGTCAGAATAAAGGACCTCAAATTTTGACTTCTGTAAACTGAGAGTTAAATATCACTTTTGTCAAATAGAAATCAATAGGAATTGAAGTACACTAAGGATTTCCCATGGGGGCAGAGAGGCAGCTACTCTCATCAGAATTCAGTGGCAACCAACATGGCAGTGAGCTGATGGTCCTTTCTCCCATTTCCTCACTGGTTTGTCCACAATTGCTATGTGGTCATAAGTGTGAGGGTTTTAAGCAGAGGCTTCACAGAGAACAGAACTGCCTTTATCCTAAGTGAAAAAGCCTCACCCTGCCCAGTATCTTGTGTTTAATTCAACTCCCCATTCCAGCCTGTACCCGACCATTTAGGATGTATTAACAGAACTCCCAACTAAGTGACTATGCAAAGTATTTTCATTGCTGTAGCTAATCTACAAAGACCAATATTTTGTGTTTACATTGTGAGAAACAAAATATCCTTATCTCTCAATAAAAAACATTTGCTCTTTGTTGGATACCAACACTTCAACTCCAAAACTGTTTGAAATCCTGGCTTGTTTCTTATCTAACTCAGCAGTGCCCATAATAGAAGGAAATCGGAGAACTCCCTCTAATACTACTCTACATCTCCACTTAAAGACTCAAACCATTGAGGATGTTCTCCTCATACAATATTTTTTAATTGTGGAAGAGATTATCCCTATTTCAGAGACATGAGTGAGATGTGCAAGAGCATCAAGAGACTTAGCAGAGGTTACATGTGAAGTCTCATGGCAGAACCAAGAAATAAATTCCCATTTTTTAATCTCAGTCCACCCTTCATTTAACCATCTTTCTATCTCAAAGAATGGATCAACATTTTTCCTTTTCGTCTCTTCTAAATAATATAACTAGTATTCCATTCTCTTATTTGAAAACATTTTTCCTTCCTCTTGTAGATTTTCCACATACCTTCACAACTTCCAAAGTGCTGCCACACAGTACTGTTGGTGTTCCTGGAAGAAGCAGACCAGCTTCAGACACAGTTCCCAAGCTCAACCAGCCCAGCTTCTGCCTCCAGGATGCACCTGCAGTTATGCAGAATGAGACAACTTGAGGCATCAATGGTGAGAGAGGCTCTGAGTTTAGCAGCTTCTCAGTGTCCTCTGGAGTGCCTCAAAGCCTGTGCCTGAAATTCTATAAAGCCCCCACAGGTTCTGCTGCTGCCTGGTCCATGCTCTCTGCTTTGGACCACTTTGCACAGGCTTGTAAGAAGTGTCTCTCTACAGCCCTGTGGCATTTCAGCCAACTTGAGATTTTCAGCATGGATGTAAAGGGAGGCCATTCTCAACATTTTGTCCATTAATTCTACTGCCAATATACTGGCTGAAGACAAATTAGATCTGGTTTTCCACCTTTTTATTTAAGGTTGTGCTGCAGTTAATAAAACCCCAAAACTGATTTTTCCAAGCCTGTCACCGGTGCAATATTAGTAGCTGTTTCCTTGTGGAACAGTGCTCCTCTCTCAATCATCTCTGGTTTTCAAGACTTGCCACCTGCCCATCTAAGTTGTTAATTCTCTCTGACATTTTTCTTTCAGAGAAGAAAGAGACCATTGAAGAATATCATGCAGAGTCTCAAGCAGTTCCAGAATTGATTCCTCAAGTCTCAAGCTGTTGAGAGGGCAGCACGACTCAGAGCAGAATTTGTGGGATCCTTTGAGCCAGCAGCATGCTGCTTGAAAAGCCTTTCTCCTTCAGACACATTCATGCCTCAAATCACTCACTACCAAATATAGAATGCATTCTTCAAGAGATACTACTTTCCTCACATGAGGTATCTAAAACTGTTGGAAAAAGCAAAGCTGAAAAATACAATGATACCCCTGGCCGTATATGAGATGTGATTAAATCAAAATGCCCCCGCAGGCTGACCTGGTGGCCATACAGACCCTCCCTTCACTTGCCCTGGCTGGCATTAGAGATTCTCCCAGGGGTGCCGAGGCATTCCCACTGCACTGGCTGCGTGACGGATCACGCAGGCACGCCTCGCTCCAGCAGCCTGCCCGCGTCTAGGAAGAGGCATTCAGCAGGGTCCTCGTTAAATAACACTAAGATATTAAAAGTAATCAAAACAAAGATGTAACATTCTCTTGTCCAGAGACACCGGCTGTTCCACAGTTGCTGCTCCTGCTGCCATCTTACCTGGCCATTACAAAAATGGTTTGTCCCAACGTTTGGTCTCTGTCAAACAGAAAATTGCCAGCTCCTCTCCCACCCGGGCTCCAGTCCCAGGCACCCAGTGCTCCCTTGGCCCCTGGCTGTTCTGCCCTGCTGCTCTCTGGCTGCTCCTTCGATGCCAGCCCTGCAGAGCCGTGGTTAAGGCAGCAGCACACACTCACTCACCGAGAAGCCCAGGAAGAGCCCAGAGCAACACGTGTGCTTTTACATTTAAGTGTAATCATGATATTAAAAAAAACAGTTTGCATGGTTTACCTAACATAACCTTTAATGAGGAAGTGTAGTTCCTAGAAAAAGACAAAGAATGAGTAGGAGAAGGATAAAGCCCCTCCTGCTACTTTTTAACCCCTTTCATGCTGAATATGCTTCCTTTTTCCATCCTGGGAGGCAGACTCTCATTGTAGGGGCAGTTTTTGGTCTAAAAACCATTCTAGATTCCTTCACACAAAGAAAATGTTTCTGATTCAGTGCTTATGCTGGGTAGTTGTTTTAGTCCCAAAAACTGTGCCCAGCAGGACCAGGGTAGTGATTGCCCCCTGTACTTTCCACTGGTGAGGCCACATCTCAAAATTTGCATTCAGTCCTGGGCCCCTCACTACAAGAAAGACACTGAGGTGCTGGAGTGTGTCCAGAAAAATGCAATGAAGATGCTGAAGGGCCTAGAGAATAAGTCCTATGAGGAGCAGCTGAGGAAACTGGGGGTGTTTAGCCCGGAAAAAAGGAGGCCCAAGGGGGACCTCATGACTCCACATCACCTGAGAGTATAGCCAATTGGGACTCAGCCTCTTCTCCCAAGTGACAAGCAATAGAACGGAAGGAAACCGCCTCAAGTTGTGCCAGGAAAGGTTTAAATTGGATATTAGAAAAAATCTCTTTACTGAAAGGTTATCAAGCATTGAAATAGGCTGCCCAGAGAGACATGATGCTTAGGGACATGGTTTAGTGGTGTACTTGGTAGTGCTGGGTCAGTGGCTGGACTTGATCTTAAAGAACTTTTTCAACCTAAATAATTTTATGGTTCTAAAGAAGGTGAAATATCTCTCCCCCGCTTTGTTTCTTTTTCATTGTTATCCAGCCTCTGGTCTATTTCCTTTGTGGCTGATCTCATCTCTGTGTTTTTCTCACATATCTTCTGAGATTACTCACTCCATCCATCACCTGTGCAGCTGACACATTTGCTTCCACGCTGAAGTCCCAAATGAGCTCTGTTATGTAGCACAAACCAGCCCAAAGCTGCAGTCACCTACCTTGTGGCCCAGAACTGCTTAGACTTCTCTCTTTTCAGGTGTGTCTTTGATAGGTGTTTTGGGCTGATCCCAGCCTTGCTATGGAGGCCCAAACCCCTCAAAGCTGGTGGTCCAAGCTGAGCTCTTCGCTCCTTCCCAGCAATGCTGCCCTATATGCCATTAAGGCACAGCATCCACCAGGAACCAATGACCTTGAGGGAATTCCCTCTGCTGCTGCAACACGGAGTGTGAAAAGCAAGATCACAAATACCACTCTAATAAGGTATTCTGGATTTTGATATGCATTTTCTTGAACATTCAGAAATCCCAGCTCATCTCCAATAACTTTCAGACTTTCAGTCAACATTTGCCTTTGTGCTTCTTTATCTTGTACATCAAGATTAACCCTGTATAAGATAGTATTCAGGCCAAAACTGAAGGCTACACAAGCAAATGTCCCCTTCCTTTAACTATGGTATGAATTGAGCCATAAGAAAATGACAGCCATTTACTGGAATTAGCACTTTTAGAAATAGATTAGGATAGTCATAATAAGAAGATGCAATTTATCTACTAGAAAAGCCCATGCTTTGGGTTGTGTGCGTCTGATACAAAATAGCACTGAAACACTGCAGCACTGGGTGGTCAGGCTGCTTGGTTGAAAAACACAGAGGGGAGGAGGGAAAGCAAACTATCCCCATTCCTCAGGTCAGAGCACAAAAAATCTGCCTACTCTGTTGTTCCACCTGAGCACCTGAACTTGATCACACTTGAATTTCTGGGACATGAGTACAAATACATCCCTTAGATGCTGGCCAGCTGATTGTTTCTCTTGCAACCTTTTGCACATTAATTTTGCTATCCTTTTATTTTAAGACTGATAAAAACAGTCCAAACACTGAAGAAACCAGAAGCCCCAGTGTTCTTCCACACTGACTTTGCATTCCTAGAAGGTAAACCTAGTTAAGGCAAGTCTTACCCCCCTGCAGGAACTGAAAGAAAACCCTACGTACTCCTAGTTTATATCTTTGATCCATCAGCTTTACACATGCAGCACAGCATGCCTCCCACAGAATTTTGCTGAGGGTTATTTTCCCCTCATACCAGTGAGACATTGGGAGGTACAGAGTGCATCTGTTCCAGCTGCAGGACAACAGCTGGGGGCCAAGAAAATCAGAGGCAGAAGGAGCATCAAAACTATTTTCTGACTCATCAGTAAAAAGCAATAGGAAAAAAAAAATCAATCCTCTCACGATGTTTTAATATTACACATTATAAATTATACAGATGTAATACAAGTCTCTCCTAAATAAACAGGGACTTTACAAGCAGCTATTAGAATACTACACAGTTTGTAGTAACACTATTAAAACCCCAAAATATTTATGGTCTTCCCTTCTAACCCAGGGCATGACAAAACAAACAAAAAAAAATAATTCTGGTAACAAGAAAACACACAGACAAAAATGGTCTTACAACACTTTCCAAGCTGTGAGTAGTAGAAATGCATTGGAATCCTGCTTGCACACAGACATCATTTAAGCAACAAACATCAAGTTTACCTATCAGGTCTCCTCATAGGAGAGACACTCCACAGTGTCTCTCCTATGAGAGACACTTCACTGAAGCCTCTTGTTGGCCATATGGCAGTGGGCATCTCCCACCTTTCTCTCAAAGAACTTAAAAGAACAAAAGAAACAACATTATGCTTCATTAATGAAATGTTTCCAGCTGCTCTGAGTGGGAAGTTTCTGATCATGAATCTTCCCATTACAGTGGAGCAAAGAAAAGTAGCTGGACAGGATTTAATGTTGAACACCATGATGACAGATGGGCAGAAGGTATAACCAATCTATTTCATTGTTAGAATCAGCCCAAGTACAGGATTCTGGGGATAGCCTACACAGATCTTTCCTTTGCAATGCAAGGCAAGGGTCCAAGTATCTGCTAAGTGAACTGTGCCTTTTGGTGATGATTTCTTAGCTGCTATACTGGATTAACCACAAGGGACTGCAAAAGCAATTGTCCCATTCTGCAGGAGTCTAGCCAAGCAGGTAGCAGCAGGACTAGCAGAGTCACATCCAAGTGGCGTGGCAGGGACAGACACCTCAATGGGGTTGTGCCATGGCCAGTGTTTCAGTGACCAATGTTAATCACCCTGTCATGTCTTGTGGTTTCTTATAGCCCACCCCAAAGCTCCTGCTTCACTTTCCTGACCCTGTATCTTTTTTGGGTTTCCTTCATCTCTAGTTATTATTGATATTCACAGAAGTTTTAATTATCTTCCTTCAGCTTTGGTGATTTTGTTTTCTTATTTTTCTGAGTATTTCCACCCAAAGTTACATGCTTTCTCCTGTCCTTTCCACTTGCACACTTGGAACAAACAGCCACTCTGTGAACTCTATATTTATCCCTGCACAACCAAGGAGAAGAGGGGCATTGAGTAGAAATGAGAAGCAGGGAATGAGGCAGATTTCATTGCAGCTGCAGTGCTGCCTCTGAACAAGGCTAGTCCTCCTACACGAGCCTAGAGCCACCTACCTGCTTCATACCAACAGCAGTGACTTGAGCAACCCAAGTGTCTCAAGGCTTTGCTTCCTCCTGGCCTGGCATTCAGATAGTGGAACACACATGGGAAAGAACTTACCCTCTAAAATAACACCTTCAGCGGATCTTGCCTGAAGCCTCTAAAGTGCCAAGTGACTGCAGTGTTTGCAGCAGTTCAGTTCATAAAATACACAGCTCCCTGGCATAACTCACTATTGTTCCCAGCTCTTCTTTTCCTGAACTCCAATGAATCCTGGTGACTCCAGCATTGCACCCAGCCCAAGCACAGTTCCAGCTGGTGCTCTCCTGCTGTGACACTAGGTCCTGCCAAGAAACCTCCTGTCAGAAGTCCCAGTTCCTCCACCATGCTGGTGTGGAGGAAGTGGATTGCTGCCTTTGACCTCCAAGTGCCCCTCAAAAACCCCAGAGAGATGAATGGGCCTTGTGAACTTTTGCATACACCTTCCTTGATGTGATTGAAGGGTCACAGACTTCAGAGAAAAACAGACCAGTTCCTCCTGTCTACCCTTCAGTCAAAGTAGTCTTAGAAATGCTTTTAAGTAACAGCAAGCTATTTTTAAGTGGCTGATGTCTTTCAAATACTGAGTGGTATCACATATTCAGAGAGTCACAGCAAGGTTTTTTTGTCTTGGAAAAGCTTAATTTCCTGAAGCACATATCAAAATCCTACCCTATGAATCCCTTCAGTGCAACAGAACTCTCCTAGTTAAAATTCTACACAAGCATATTTATTTCCTCCCTGCTCCCTGAGGTACCATTCTCTCTATGTACGCTACAATAACAACTGTGCCTTTACTAAAATTGAACAAAATAACCAGATCTTTGTAGAGGATAATTAACAGCCAGCAGTGAAT